CGGGTTTCGTAGCTAGTATATATAATATATATATATATATGTATATATATATATATATATAATAATATATAAGATACAATCTCTCCACCTGTACTAGATGCTTGATGAACCACCGTCGCCTCTCCACCCCTATATAGTCCTACGTCTGTACTATCTCCTGTATTAACCCTCCCCCTGTACTAGCTCCTGTATTAACCCTCCCCCCTCTGTACTAGCTCCTGTATTAACCCTCCCCCTTCTGTACTAGCTCCTGTATTAACCCTCCCCCTCTGTACTAGCTCCTGTATTAACTTTCTTCTCTCTCTCCTGTACTAGCTCCTGTATTAACCCTCCCCCCTCTGTACTAGCTCCTGTATTAACCCTCTCCTCTCTCCTGTACTAGCTCCTGCATTAACCCTCCCCCTCTCTCCTATACAAGCTCCTGTATTAACCCTCCCCCTCTCTCCTGTGTACTAGCTCCTGGATTAACCTTCTCCCCTCCTCCTGTACTAGCTCCTGTATTAACCCTCCCCCTCTCTCCTGTACTAGCTCCTGTATTATCCCTCCCCCTCCCCCTCTGTACTAGCTCCTGTATTAACCCTCCCCCCTCTCTTCTGTACTAGCTCCTGTATTAACCCTTCCTCTATACTAGCTCCTGTATTAACCTTCTCCCCCTCTCTCCTGTACTAGCTCCTGTATTAACCCTCCCTCTGTACTAGCTCCTGTATTAACCCTCCTCCTTCGATACTAGCTCCTGTATTAACCCTCCCCCTCTCTCTCCTGTGCTAGGTGCTGGACCCGGCACAGCGGCTGGGGGCAGACGAGTGCGGCGGGTACCAGGACCTCAAGACTCACCCGTTCTTCAGCGGCGTGCGCTGGAACACGATCGGCGAGCAGACGGCGCCGCCCATACATCCCTACCTGCCCGCGTCTGGCGACAATCCAGAGGTCAAGTCAGAGGTGAGTGAGAGGTCGCCGCGAGGGGGCGCCGCCGGACGAGTGAGTGAATAGCGGGGAAGACTTGCAACAGGTCTGACCTTTCGTAAAATGACCACACGGCAGGCGGACACGTGCATAGCAAGAGACTGACAACAACTCCGACTTTTTGACGTGACCTCCAACCGCTGACCTTTTGACACAACCTGCACCCCCGACCTTTTGACATGACCGTTGACCCTTTGAGGCGACTTCAGACCCCAGGACCTCTGACCTCTGACCCTTCCCGTTCTCCGCAGTTTGACGTTCAGCGGGAGGCCGGCTGGAACGAGGACGACATCGCGCGGATGCACCTCACGGGCCTCAGTCTAACGATGACTGCCGCCACCGCCACGCCGGCGACCCTTCCTCTCCTCCCTTAGCTCCCCCTCCTCTCGTCCCCTTCCTCATCCTCCCTCCTCTTTACCCCCTCCTCTCCTCCCCCTCCTCTCCTCCCCCTTCCTCTCCTCCCCTCCTCTTCTCGCCCTTCCTCTCCTCCCCTTCCTCTCCCCCTTCCTCCCCCCCCTCCTCTCGCCGCCCCTTCCTTCCTCCCTCTCTTCTCCCTTCCTCTCCTCCCCTGGCCTCTCGTCCCCCCTTCCTCTCCTCCGCTTCCTCCTCCTGCCCCCTCCTCTCTCATGTTCTCGGCTCTTCCTCGCTCTCCTCGAGACCCCCTCCTTCTCCTCCCCCTCCTCTCTCGCCCATTTCCCTCCTCTTCTCCGCCCTCCTCTCCTCCCCCTCCTCTTTCCTTTCCTGCTCCTCCTCCTGGCTCCTCCCCCTTCATCTTCTCCATCCTCTCCCGCCTTCCTCTCCTCGCCCTCTCTCGTCCGGCCGCTTTCCTCTCCGGCCAGCCCACCTTCCTCTTGTCCACGAGCCCCTGCTTCAATATGAAGGTTGCTCTCGACCGAAGCGATGGCCACGGTGTAACTCCTCTGCTCGCTCCAGCCTCCTCTTCCGCTCCTCCGCCTCTGCCGCACGTTGAGGATTGTGGGGTCGCGGCGGCGGCGGCTGCGGCGGCGCGGGACGAGGCGGCAGCGGCCGGCTGCGGCCGGGAGGAGGAGGAGGGGCGCGGGGCGGGAGCCGCCTGGCCGCCGGTGNGGTGCAATGTGGTCTCGCAGATAGTCAAGATCTCTGTTGTCTCCGTAAAAAGACAGGTCCTGGCCTCCCCTTGTCACACGCCGGGGGTACGGTGACAGCTAGATCTTACGTCCGTAGAGACGGTCCTGCCTCCCCCCTCACACGCGGGGAGGCTGACAGTAGCGTCTGTGGCGTAGAGACGTCCTGGCCGCACCGCCTTCACACACTGTGCGGGTGTGTCGGTGTAGGTGACATTAGATCTGCTGTCCTGTAGAACGGTCCTGGTCCTCGCGTGCCGTGCGTGGTGTGGCGTGGCGTGCTTTCACGAACGGCGTGTTGCGGGCGGGCTAGCGTGACAGTAGGATGCTGTTGTCGCCAGTGGAGGATCTTGGAGAGAGTGGGATCTTCGAGTGTCCTCTTTTTATGTGAAATAGCGTATGTTAGACATTTGCTCACCTGAGTTACGCACGTCTGCTCCCGAGGCTGAATACGAAAATTCCAAAAGAAATTGTGCTAACTTGGTCCGCACGGCGGTTTTTGTGTCTCGAAGTGCATTCGCGGGCACAATTGTTTCTCCCCAGTTGGCCGACGCGTACGGCAAGTAGTGCATCGAAGACGGGAACTCGGTTTTAATTAGCGGGCCGATGTGCGTGGATAGATTATATAGGGAGGTCCGCGGTGTGCATGACGAGTTCCGCCACCCACGCGGAAAAATCCTAAGCAGGTTTGGATAGTCGTTGAATACTCATATTTCCTGCATTCTGGCCATAAAAAGCCATTATATCAGACTAGTTTTTTTCCCTCCTTTTTTATATTTCAAAAGATTAGTGGCCGGGCGAGATACTATGGCCGTCTATGTGTGGTGTGTGTGTGTGTGTGGTGTGTGTGTGTGGTGGTGTGTGTGTTCGGAGATGTGGTTGTGCGGTGCGGTGAAGATGTGGTGGCGGCCAACCGCGTGGTGTGGTGTGGAATGTTGTGTGTGTGTGGTGTAGGTGTGGGTGTATTGCCGGGCATCACTATCCGTGCCACCGTGGTCAGCAAGACCGCTGCCCTGCGTGTTGATCCACGGAACTGCTTCCGCTTTATCATTTCATTTGTTCTCGTTTCTATTGTTGCCCTCTTGTTGATGATTGCAGCCGAACAGGACGTACTACCTGGTAGACCCGGAGGGATACGCGTTGCGCAGTGCGTGCGCCCGGCCATCGGAGGAGGATCAAGATAGCAGTACGGAGCTTCGACGATCGGTCTAGGCTGCGGAAGCGCCATGGAGGGCGCCGCTGTCGTCGCCGGAGAAGTCGCGTAGGAGTTGGGGTTACGATTAGTGCTGTGATACGACGCGTAGGGCCAGTGCGCGTGTAACGGACGCTGGGGTAGTAGAGCGGCGCGCGTGGCGGCGACCGGGCGACGCGCCGGCATTCGGCCGACGGCAACTTTACGGCAGGCTCGTGCTAATCTTTTACGTGTAAGAAAAAATACGTTGGTTTTGATAAAGAAGTATTAGCCCGTAGCTAAAGTACGAATTACGTGTCGATACGATTGTGAATTTCGTCGCGTGAATTTCGTTCCCTTTGTCCGCGTTTTGCGGTTGTGGGGGAGGCTTACGCGGGGGGTGGACGTGTCGGATTTCGTCGACTAACGGGGGAAAATTTCACGAGATTGTTTGTTTGCTTTAGGTACGTTTTTCTTATTTGATCTTCTGCGTTTTATTCTGTTTCGTTGTTCCTATACTTTCCTCGTTTCTTTTTTTCTTTTTTCATATTTTTTTATTATCGTATATCTCCACGCGCACCGCCCGCGGTGGGTCTACGAAGTAGACATAATCTTGAGCGACTGGCGGGAAAAATGGGTAGGCAATTGTTATGCACTGAAGATTGTGTTTAACTACATTCTCTCTCGCCCGTCTATTTCGTGCGAAGTGAGCGGAGGGCTTCCCTTTTATGTTGTTCGCGTCGTGTAAGGGTCCTCCTGCTGTGTGTGTGTGTGTGTCGTGCCTCTCCAGTGTAAGGTGATTCATGTCCGTGGTCTGTGTTTTATGCTGTGCTGTAGCGATTTCGCCGCGCCCACACCATCACCCATACACTGCAGAACACTAAGCCATTTTAAGGAGCAGTGGAGAGAGAGTGAGACTAGCGAGTGGGAGAGGAGAGGAGAAGAGAGAGAGAAGAGAGAGAAGCAGAGCAGACGAGAGAAGAGAAGAGAGAGAGAGAGAATGAGAGAGGAGAGAGAGAGAGACGAGAGCAGAGAGGAGGAGAAGAGAGGAGAGCGAGATGAAGAGTAGAGAGAGAAGAGGGAAGGAGCATGAGATGACGAGAGAGAGAGAAGACGAGGAGAGGAGAGAAGCACCCCTCGAGAGAGAGAGAAATGAGCAGGAGAGAAGGAGAGACAGAGAAGAGAGAGAGGAGAGACGATAGAAGACGTCGAACAGAGGAGAGAGAGAGAGAAGAAAGAGGAGGAAGCAGTGGGAGAGAATGAGAGAGAGAGGAGAACGGCCCGAGAGAGAGGAAAGAGAGAGGAAAGAGAAAGGAAAGAGCCGATGAGAGGAGAGAAGAGACGAGAGCAGAGAGAGAGGAGCGCGAGAGAGAGAAGAGAGAAGAGGGAGAGAGACATGGATGAGAGAGAGACGGAGAGAGAGACTGAGAGAGAGAAGAGCGCGGGTCAGAGCGGAGAGAGACGACAGCGAGGAGGAGGAGTGTGTGGTGATGATGGTGTGTGTGGTGGATGAGAGAGAGAGCAGAGAGAGAGAGAGAGAGATGCTGGTGATGATGATAGATGATGGATGGTGGTGTCGTGGTGTGTAGTGTGATAGGCGTGGAAGAGATGTAGTGATGGTGAGGGCCCCCGCAGAGAGGTATGAAGAGAGGAGTATAGGTGAGTAAGTGAGAGATGAGGAGAGAGACGGAGATGTATAGAAGGTCGTGAGAGAGAGCGAGGGTAGTAGTGGAGATGATAGTATCGAGGAGGCTCGACGAGAGACGCCAAGCAGGCGAGTATTGGCAGGACGACGAGAGATGATTCGTCTATGGATGTTGAGGTGTAGAAATGAGAAGCATGTACTGCAGAGTATGGAGAGATAGATGGATGATGCATGTGATTGAAAGGAGTAGACTGACTTGTCCATTAAAGTTGGAGGAGAGAAGGGGAGTAGGAGTTCGGCTGGCGTTCGGTCTGTGCGTGATGACTATTATTAGTAAGCTGTCTTTGCCGGGACTCGGCGCATTTCCTGTCTGACGCTCTCAAGTGAGTGCTGTGCTAAGGTCTTTAACTTTGATCCGTAGTGTCCAGCACTGACACCCTGCACTCTGCATTCCGCACCTTGTGATCTGCTCTACAACCGTGCTAGGAAACTGTGTGCAGCGCGTTTACACTGACGACTGCCGAGTTGTGCGCGGACTCGATCGAGCGGTCAGCGTCGACCGCGAGCGTACGCGTGGACGGCGTTGCGATGATAGGGTTAGGCGTATATTATTATATACTAAATATATATTATATATATGATATAGGGGTTAGGGTATTATATTATATATATATATAGTATATATATATATATATTATATATATATATATATATTATATAGGGCTGGGTTATATAGGTATTTATATATAAATAGGCGTGTAGGGTATAGTATATATAGGGGCGAGAAGGAGAAGAGGCACACACAGAAGTGCAGCCAGTATTTCCTACAACAGTTGGAGAGCAGACCCATGATTATGAGAGCATCGTCATACGGCATCAAGCAAGGAGCAAGGAGACCAGACTCGGGACTCTCTACGACATCTCCGGAGATTGAAAAAACGACGACATCGGTTCTCATTTTCTGTCAGACGACTAACAGATTCGCTGCAATGCTGTGAGAAGCAAGGAGTGAGGAACTGCTCGACCGAAATGACTGATGCCGACCGAGACGAGGCCTACACCCAACGAGCTATGCTGGATTGCAATGAGACATGTGAGACGGGGAGCATAGTCTGCTAGCGACAGCCACAGAATACAGCAATAGAGGCGAGAAAGAGGCAACAGCATGGGCATGAAGTAAGTCCATCTGCATTGACTCGTCGGTACGTGCCGAGGGTAAGATTGCTGTCATCATCTCTCGGCAGGGGTAGACTCAGGAGAGAGAGAAACGAGAGGAGAGAAGAGAGAGAGAGGAGAGAGAGAGAGAGAGAGAGCAGAGGAGAGAGAGGAGAGAAGAGAGAGAGAGAAGAGAGACGAGAGAGAGTGAAGGAGAGAGAGTAGGAGAGCAGGCCGAGGGAGAGAGATGAGAGGAGAGAGAGAGACAGCGAGGAGAGGAGAGTAGAGAGAAGAGAAGAGAGAGCAGAGATAGAGAGAGAGATGAAGAGGAGAGAAAGAGCAGAAGAGAGAGAGAGAGAGACGCTAGAAGCGAGAGGAGCGGAGAGAGAGAGACGAGCAGAGAGAGAGATGAGAGAGAGCAGAGAGAGAGAAGAGAGAAGGAGAGGAAGAGAAGAGAGAGAGAGAAGCGGAGAAGAGAGAAGAGAGAGCGAGAGAAAGAGAGAGAGAGTGAGTGAGAGAGAGAGAGACAGCGAGGGAGAAAGAAAGAGAGAGAGAGAGTTGCGCGGTTACGCGTGCGCACGGTCGTGCTGAAGGCAGCAGGCTGGTGATATATTGCGTGCCATTAGTTAGATACGAGAATAGGGGGTTCCGATCTATTTCTGTTATCGTGTGTTGATGTGCTACTCCTCAGTACGTTCGCGTCCCCGTGTGTTGATGGCTCGTGTGTTTTTCGCCCGTTATCGTTTGCAGATAGATTTATCGCCCGTTACTGTGCGCGTCGATCGGCGGAGAGTGACTGCGCCGCCATTTTGTTGTTGCGTGATGATGCGTGTAGCTGTTATGTAGATGTTGATTGGTTTTCTTGTAGTTACAGTTGGGGGGGGGCGTGTTCAGAAACAAATGAAAAGTTATGAAAGTCTAAAATGTCATTATAGTTTTTCACGACATTTCACTGCAAAGGTTATGACGGTGTGGACACACGTTGTCATGACTACTTGTGACGTTTCTGACAGCAGGTCTCTGATTGGTGGACATGCAGACGAGTTTCTGTATGCATATTCAGGATAAAGAGTAATAGAATGGTAGTTCCTTGGAGTAATCATTCTGACTGATTACTCCAAGGTAGTACGTAGAGGGAAAATCGAGTTCGTGTGGCTGATTTGGGAATTTTTTGGCAGATGGTGGTCTGCATTATAGGGTTAGGGTTAGGGTTAGGGAATTTTTCGGCAGATGGTAGTCTGCAGTAAGATACATAGAGCAGCAGTACGAAATGCTGATGGTAATTAATTAATTAATGCTGATGGTAATTAATTAAAAAAAAGCATGATGTCTCTTCTTTCTAGCGAGGGAGGACGATGTTAGGAGTAGGCACACGATCATCGTTTTACTCTCGATGGGAGATACGAGATAAAGGTTTTGTATCTCGTGGAGTTGACGTCGTGACGTAGGATTGGAATTGTACACGTAGCGTTTGTACAGGTCCTGGAAAATCGTGTAATTCTTAAATGTCAATTTCCACGTCTGAAAGGTTCTAGAAAATATCGGTTAGCGGGCTGGAAAATTGGCTATTACGTTTGTTTCTGTAACGTTGTTAAAATCGATCACGTACGTAATCTAATCTATCTTGTCTGAGAGGCAATAAAACTTGCATCTTGCCAAAGTTCACTGATCCTTGATTGAATCGTACAGAGATATATTTAGTTTCGTTGTCCTCGAAAATGATTATGTGTTGGGAAAGATTTCAGGACTTCCGGAGAAGGTTTTCCTCAGATGTACAAATCCTGGAACTGTGATTATCATTATTATTAGGTATGACCATAAACACCTATATAATGTTCTTCTGCGCACCGAGGAAGAAATTTTAAAACGACACACAAACAAGCAGACGACATTGCACCGAGGCTCCGCCGACTGGTGGCGCCACTTGGTGGAGAGTATTTATGCAAAATACCAAATTAGCTGCACCCATTAATTTACACATAGAAATAGATATATAACTATGTATTACCGAATTCGGTATATATGTATCTCTGTGAGTATATATGTTAATGGTACTACCCAGATGTGTTAAACTGAACTGTGAACAGACTTATTCTCGGTGCACGTAGAAATAACGTAGAAGGGTCAATTTACTGATACTGAGAACTTGCTGTGTAGTGAAGCGATGGAGAACTTGACTGAGAACTGATAGAGTAGTCAATTGATTCCATAAAATAATCAAAATGTGTTACTATCTCGGGT